ACTGTTTCGGTCCCCAGGGCGAAATGCCAGCAGCTGCATCTCACACTCTCCTTCCCCTTGACATCTTTCTGTTCCCAGAACGCTGGGCCCTCAGCCTCCACCTTACGGCCTCAGATTCGCCCTCCTTCCGTCTCCAGTGCCCCTCCTCCTGCTTCTCCGTGGCTGGCTTTTTCTGGTGACTCTGCTCTCCACTTAACACCGCCTGCCCTGGACTCCCCGTAAACGGNCCAGTGCCCCTCCTCCTGCTTCTCCATGGCTGGCTTTTTCTGGTGACTCTGCTCTCCACTTAACACCGCCTGCCCTGGACTCCCCATAAACGGAGCCACCAGGCACCCCAGCACGAACCCACCTTAATTCCTTCCCTGTCACTTACACCTATCTTTTACTTTTCACGTTTACTTGCTTAGTATGATTGTGTATTTATTGGTGTTTGTTTCACTGTCTGTCTTCTTCAATAAGATGTACATCCCATAAGGACAGGAATTATGTCTGTTTTTATCATTTTAATGCCAGTGCCTCAAAACAGTGGCTGACACATTGTAGGCACTTAATAGATCAATAGTTATTGATAAGTAACGGGAAAGGACACAGGCAGTAACCAGGGAGCTCCGATCTTGGTGTGGGGAGGAAGGGACTGGCGACAGGGCAGGCTCCTTTGGGGAGGAGATGTCTGCACTTACAGAGCTAGTCACACACAGGAGAGCATGCTCGGGGCTTTAGGAGACAGGGAACACACAGTGCATTCTGGAAACTACAGACGTTTTGCTATGACTCCATTGTAGGATTCTGTTGGGGGGGTTGAATCGAGGGGTAATGTCAGTCGATGAGACTAGATCAGTGATTTTCAAACTTTCTTCTCATGGCACAGAGGCTAATTACTAAAATTCTGCAGCACAGCAAAAAATACATTTTTTTGCCAATCTGACCAAAAAACGGGTATAATTTTGATTCAATCACGCCACATAACTATTGTTGTGTTTGTTGGCTCTTGTCATTTTTTAATTTGACAATCGAAGGGAAAAGAGATCAGTGGCCCTGACTAAATAGTCAGGTATTGCATGTTTTAAAAAGTCTTGCAGCTCACTGGTTGAGAATCACTAGACTAGACAAATAGGGAAAGGCTATATCTTACAGGAGCTTGCGTGTGTCATCTTTATTTTTTCAATATGTTTTTATTGATATTTAGAGAGAGAGAGGAAGGGAGGGGGAGAGAGAGACAGAGAGAGATACATGGTCCCTACTGGGGATCAAGCCTGCAACCTGGGCATGTGCCCTCATAGGGAATCGAACCAGCCTCTTCTTCATGCATGGGCCAATGCTCAACCACTGGGTCACACCAGCCAGGGTCGAGTGTGGTCTTGAAGAGTGCATGTGCTGCTCAGGGAGTAGGACCAGCTGATGGATATTAAGTAGTGAAGCAAAGCAATCAGATTTTTGTGTTGGGAATGTCGTTCTGACCGCATGATAGAGAATGATGGGAGATGGGTAACCTTGAGGAGAAGAGAGGAGTCAGAAGATGACCGTCCTGGTCCAGGAAGGAATGATGGTGTCTGAAGCAGTGCTGTCACAGTGAGTGGGCATCTGGAGACTGGCCAGGTGTCTCGTCAGGAGGTACAGTCAATAGGATCCATGTGAAGGGTTTGGACAAGGGAGCGATCCCTGGTCTTCCCTCCCTGGTCCCAGAGCCAATATTCCAGAACTCCTAGATGGAAGGGTGCTGGTTCCTTAACAGTGATCACCCCACTGTCTGGGATACTTGCCCTGATTTGAGTTAAGTCAGCCCCACTATCTAGTCAGGTTGTGGTCAAACACACACACACACACACACACACACACACACACACACACACACCACTCTATACACCCTACAACACCCATCAATGGAGAGCATTCTACGAAATTCTGATTTTATACAGGAGGGGTTTTAGGTAGCAACCGGGTGGAAGAGCGATAAAGCTTCACTTGCTAAGCAAATACAGTGCACTGTGTCTATGCTGCTGGGTGCGTTGGGGTGGACCTGGAGGGGCCCCCAGGCAGCGGCGAGCTTGGCCACACCACGTGCTCTGTGGTCTACCGCAGCGCAGCACGGATTTGGAGGCCAGAGGCGTGTGAAGGTAAGAACATGAAGTGGTCAAGCTTTTGTTTCAGTCAGGCTCTGCTGCTGTCATTTCGATACCTTGTTGTAGACTCTCCAACCTTCGGTATTTTCATGTGCAACATGAGGGAGGCGGGCGAGATGAGCATTTCCAGAACTTACTTGTCTGAAAACATTTTTTAACAGTGTCAATAGATTAGATGAGTTCCCAATAGAAAGGAGCACATGAAAAATAATACATGTTATAGATCCAAGGGGAATGCAATATATAGGAATAAATGTTAAATATGTCTACACACACATATCTGTTAAGCATGGAATAGTACTGAGATATATGCTACAATGGTCCAGCAAGATGACAAAGTGTGGGTCAGTAAGACAGCCCAGCACAGAGACGCTCACAGCACACTGTGTGGGTCAGGGGCTTTGCATGTGACTTCCCATTATTCGTGGGTATGGCAGACCAGTTCTTAAAGGAAGATTATTGCGTAATAATAATGACAGTGTTTTTTTACATGCACGTTACAAAATGTGTTATATAGAAAAATGTTAGTGGCACGAAGCAGTTACTCAACGCACACGCATTGAATAACTGAAGAAATGACACAGCATCGGCGTGGTGTCCAACCAGGGAGGGACTCGGAAGCAGAGCAGTGAGAAACAAGAAGTGGGGAGAGGGCTTGGGCCACCTCCTCAATGGGCCAGGCAGGATCATCACAACATAAGGATTGTGGACAAAAATGTTCTTGGCCTTACTGGTTGCACATGAGCACTAAAAGGATGTTCTCTTTTCTTGTTTCAGGCTGGCCGCCTGCGAGCCACCTGGAACTGGAGGCCTCAGCAAGTGGTGCTCAGAATCGCCCAGCTCCTCTACCTCAGTGCTCTGATCTCTGGTAACCTTTACTCTAACCCTGCACCCGGCTCTGAGTAATTAGGGTAACTTCTCTGAGTGGGAGAAATTAAGAATGGAAGCCAGTTGTTGCGAGGCATAGGAAAGCTGTCCAAGCCCAGATTCCTGGAAGGAAAAAAAAAATGCACCCAACACCATCCTGTTGCCAGAAAAGGCATCAGGAAGAATTTAAGCGGGTCTGTCCAGGACCAATTTATCCGTCAGGCGCAGTAGGCATAGGCCTGGTGACCCTCACGGACCCACAGATATATTTTAATTTCTTTAAAAATTATTTCCTTCTAGGTCAAAGAAAATGTTTGTAGGATATAATATTAATATACCCTATATGCAGCAATACAGCTGTAAAATATAGTTTTTAATAAATATTGTGGAAGACGGGGCCCATGGAAGTCACAACGTGGTCCTGGAGATCTCAGAACAGAGTCTTCATGGCAAAACAGTGCGACAAAGGTGTTAGGGAGGAACAAACATAACTGGCCCTCACACAGGCCACAGAGGAGAGAGCTGAATAGGAAAAATACATTATAAACAGGAAAGGGAACCATTTCCAGGCCTGATTGCTTGCATTGTACAGCTCTTCACGTGGGAGCTGGCCTCTCCTGGCTCAGCTGAGCTCCACGGGCTGAGATAACAATACTTTGCACCACCACACAGGCCCTTTAAACGTTTGGAGGGCACATTCGTTATTTCATTTGATATCACAAACATTTCTTTAAAAGGTCCGTTTTAAACTTTAATAAGTGAGTAAGCAGAGAGGGAGGAAATAAGCAGTTAAGAACAGTGGAATGAGTGAATGTGAGACTGCGAATCAGGAGACCTGATTTCTAACCTGTCTCTGCCCCAAACCCGCTGTTTCACTCAGTGCTTACTGAATGCCAGCTAAGTACCAAGCTCTGTGCTAGGTGCTGAGGAGCCAGAGCTTGAAAGGGACCATCCTCAGGACTCACAGTCTAGCAGGTGTGGACCATGTCACAGAAGCAGACACACAATACACAGCAGCAGGGCGGTGGAGGCAGTCGGTGCCGTGGGAGCCCGGAGGCAGAAGCACCGAGCCAACCTGGGGAAGTGAGGGAAAGCGGGCGAGGAAGGGTGTACCGGGCCTAGGCGGGGGCAGCCAGGGTAGCAGGGAGAGCATGTGCAAAGGCATGGACGTGGGACGTCTGTTTCGCTAAGAAAGTAAATGTGACAGGGAATGAGGCAGGACCAGCAGGTGCGCCCCCGACCATAAAGCATCTTAGTTTCCTCGTAAAGGGCTGGAACCTGTAGATAAGAGGCAGCCACCCAGACATTTCCAGGGACATTTAAGTTGGATTTGGTGAATTATTTACCATGCCTCCTTCACTTATAAAAGGAGGAGAGGATTAGATGACTTCTAAGGTCCCTTCTGGTTCTGGTATCTTATGATACGAATCTTTAACATCGGGGGCCTCAGAAGAGGGCCTTGTCCTAGTGCGACTTGACGTTGATTTTTAAGTGAAAGGTGGATACCGCTCTTTTCTCTTAAAACTGGAAGATTAGGCATGAAAGGGCCGTGTGTGGGGCTCTCATCTTCCAGTCAAAAGCTCCTCCGACCACACAGAAGGGCCCTCGGGCTCCAGCCCCTCCTGTAGAAACGCTACCTAACCCGGCGCTGTCCCCTTTACCCAGAACTACTGAGCCAGAAAGAGGTGGCAGCGTGGACCTATCACTACAGCACCAAACCCTACACTTGGAACTCCTCCCGGCATTTCTGCCAGAGGTTCTACACGGACCTGGTGGCCATCCAGAACCAAGGCGAGATCGCCTACCTCAACGACGCCATGCCTTACTACAGCCAGTACTACTGGATCGGGATCCGCAAGGTCGGCGGGAAGTGGACCTGGGTGGGGACCAACAAGACCCTCACGGCCGAGGCCGAGAACTGGGCGGACCATGAGCCCAACAACAAGAAGAACAACCAGGACTGCGTGGAGATATACATCAAGAGCCCGTCGGCCCCCGGCCAGTGGAACGACGAGCCGTGCTGGAGGAAGAAGCGCGCGCTCTGCTACTCAGGTAGGGTCCCTCTGCTCGGAGTCTGTCTGCTTGAAAAGCATGCCATCCCTGTGACTGCAGCCACTGAGCCAGGGACAGGGAGTCACGGGGCCAGGGACCGGCAGAGTGAATGCCAATCGAGCAGCGCCTTGAGCACCTCGAGGGAGAGACGATCCAGACCAGAGAAAACTGGGCTTTTGAAACCAGGAGGTAATTTTACTATCACCTGGCCCACCCTTCTCATTTTATAGCTGACGAAATAGGTGCTCAGGAGGTTTTAGCGTCTTGAAATGCACGTCCAGAGCTTTTTTGCCCCACTGTGCCCTAGAATGAGAGGGGTGAGGTGGGAGGAGCGTGGTCCTCCCCGGGAGGCGCAGCCGTAACTAACACCCAGGTGCTGTCATTGGCTCATGTGTCTCGAGCCATTTCGGATCAGTGGCATTCAGTCCTATGAGACCTTCATCAATCATGTCCTCCTATTACTCTCGTTTTGCTGAAGAAGGAAAGGCTCAGAGCCGTCAAGGAATCTGCCCGAGGTGCTAAGCTCACGATGAGGGAGCCAGTTTGAAACCCATGTTGACTTCGAAGCTGGTCCTCCTTAGCCACATGGGCTACCACCCCGTTTGCTCTGCATTCTCACGAGACAGTCTGAGAACATGACCAAGGGCCACAAGCACTTTATAGATTCCCCTTAGTGATAGGGCTGTTGGGCTTTGGTGAGGGCTGGGGGAGAAGGAAAGGGGGGAGGTAATGAAGGGGAGATCCTGTGAGTATATTTGATTCTCAACCCTCCCAATTCCAGACTAAGCAGACATGCACGAAAGCTTGGTCTTCCCAGCTCCACGCACCCAGTGCCAGGGCTGATCCATCTTTCTGAGGTGGCTTCCCTGCAGAGGAGTCCCCCCGGCCCTGTGCAGCACACGGGCACTGTGGGGGCGGCACCTAGGGAGGGTGCCGACTGTCGTGAGCAGAAGAGCCCTGTGTACTCTGAAGCTTTTTCCTTAATAAGTCACCTTACAGATGTCACCTTCTTGCTGTATTTGTCCTGATTTCTTTAGATTATAAACACCTCCCCCTAGAAGCCCTCAACAACAGGAGCGGAACACACAGCATAGTGTATTCCCTCCGCTTTCTCCCTCTCCTCACCACGCTTCCTCCTGAGGGAAAGCATATCCATAAATGCATCATCATGTGGCCAGGTCTCATTTTATAAATGATTTATTTGGTTTTAAATAAATTAATTAGCTTACGACCTGTTCTTCAAAGGTCAGGATGGACATTACCAAGATATTAGCTCATGCACCTTCTCTCCCAGAGCTCACCTGTCCATGGAGATGACCTCGGCTGCTACTAGATGTCCCAATAGGCCACCGTTTCCACTCCACTCCCAACTTCAACATCCACATCTGCAAGGCAGTCTTCCCAATACAGGGTGCAAAAAACTATAGGACAGGAAAGAGAATGAAAATTATTGGCGTAAATGTTGCCAGCCCTCTAACCCGCAACATTGGCAGACATCACTAACTGGCACAGTTTCACCTGAGTACGGTTGGCTTCCATCTCCACGAACACTGATGGGCATTTTGGCATCCAAGGTGAAAGGGTCAGGGACCATCAGCTCCCTGTAGGAGATGTGGAGCAGATATGTATCCTGCAACAAGACATGAAGCTGGGATAATTCCATAAGTGTCAGGTTTTGTCAGACCTCAGAACAGTCTTTCAAAGAAAGATCCATTTTTTGAATTGTCATTCATTTCTTTCCTAGAGGTACAAGGGAATAGAAAAATTACTAACTTGATGGAAACCCTGGAAGGGAGCAGAATACAGAACAGTGGCTGTTTTCCTTTCCTACAGTCCTGAATTCTGGGGAAGCCACAGCCAGAGCAAAGCCGTGTGCTCTGCGAGCACAGGGTTGGCGGGTGTTGCTGCTGCAGGGTGCTGCGGGGCCGAGGAGGAGCCAGCTCTGCCTCCTGCACCTTCTCTTTACTTGGAAGCCCTCCCAGCGCCTCCGTGCAGCTTCTCCGACCCCTGTGGTTGTCATGGGAACCTCTGCAGAACCTTGCATGGCTTTAGGCTTAGAGCATCTCAGAGTGGGGAGAAAATGTAGAGATCATCTAGCATGGTCCTCCATGTGACCTACGGATTTCCTGTTGTAAAAGGAGCCCAAAGTGGACCAGGTGTGGCCAGGGCTTAGCGCACAGGAAACACCCCCAGAAAATAGTCTAGCCACAGACCCTGCCCCAGCTATGACCTCATCAACAAAAACATCAATGAGAACATCCTCAGTGCTCTGATAGCATCAGTTCCAACAGTAATCGTCCCACCAGGTAGTGCATACACCCCCAAAGAGTCTTGCAGGAAAGAGGTGCTGGCCCTTCTCCATCTGTAACCCAGTGGCACAGACTTAGTGAGGAGAGCCTGGCAGGCCACCGGCTTGGCACTGCCCAAACCTGGCATACTTATACCCATGAAGCATCTGCTCATAAAACTGCTTGCTTTTTACCAGGAGCAGGTCTTAAACATTTCACTTGGCTTCTCTGCTTGCCCACCACGTGGCACTGGGCATAGATTTGAAATGAACAAAAGGTGGAAGGGTCTGGCCCCTAACGATGGGCAAATTGGGCTCCATGCAGGAACTTGCCTGAGGTCACACAAAGGCCACAGTAGGCGACAGAGCCAGGACTGAGATCATGTGTGCAAGCCCAAAGCTGGTGCCTCGTCGGTGCTGCAGCGTCTCTCTCTCTCCCACCCCCTTTCCCTCCCTCCCTTAAAAAAAAAGGGAAAACATATCCCTGGGTAAGGATTAACAACAACTGAAAGAATCTGCTTTTCTCCACATGCCTGCCCCCTCTGTATCCACCAGCGTCCTGCCAAGACACGTCCTGCAGCAAACAAGGGGAGTGCGTGGAGACCATCGGGAACTACACCTGCTCCTGCCACCCCGGGTTCTATGGGCCAGAGTGCGAATACGGTGAGGCCTCCGTTGTGCTGATATCGTGGCCGTGAGTCTTGGGCTTTCCCTACCATCTGTCCACCTGCCCCGCTCAAGCTGCCCCTGGACACTGTGCTCTGAGAGAGCGCGTCCGTCATAAATCTCGACAGTAAAAGGGAAACGCAGAGGAAGCAAACGAAGGCGGGTTACAAGCAGCAGTGGGGGAGCGAGTGGTTCCCTAGATGCAGCCCACACAGGGGAGCAAAGGCCACAGGCTTGGGTTGGAAGCCCCGGGGCAGGGCTGGGGCTATGCAAACAGTCCAGCTTTCAGCAGGCCCGGTCTTGTCAGCGGCCTGCAGTGGAACCTTGGTGTTTTGTCCCCGCAGTCAGGGAGTGCGGACGCCCGGAGCCCCCAGAGCGTGTGCTCATGAGCTGCAGCCACCCCCTGGGAAGCTTCGCTTTCCATTCGCGGTGCAGCTTCCGCTGCACAGACGGGCACACGCTGGACGGACCCCGCGAGCTGGAATGCTTGGCTTCGGGGGCCTGGACGAGCGAGCCCCCGCGCTGTGTGGGTGCGTACACCCCTTTCCTTCATCCGCACCGAACTTCAACTCGGGAGGGGAGAACACGCTTCCTCCATTAAACAGCAGGGGAAATGGGGGGGGCCTACGCAGAGGAGGGATTCTGGGGATTACCACCACCCGCCAACCACGGTCCCACTGCGTTTTCTATCTGTGCAGCGAGATAATCCGCTGAAGTCTCGATTCTCAGGCAGAAACACTACGGGGGGCCTCTCTCCCTCTGTTAACTGCGTAGGGCACAGAGTACAGTGAGGGATTAGGGGGCCAGTGTCATTAATCTGATCGTTTTGCTTTGCTTCTCTAAAAAAGTAAGTGAAACATAAGGGTGTGTGGATCTTTCCAAACAGCTACTGGAAGTATCGCCTAAGCCACTGAGCCCATCACCTTGCCTGTCAGTTTGGGGAGGCAGACAGCAGGCACAGCGGCCTAGGCTCCCCAACGCTCACGCCATTGCCTATGGTTGTTTCAGCCACCCCATGCCCACCCCTGCGGCCCCCCGAGCGAGGACACATGAGCTGTCTGCAGGCTGCAGAGGCTCCTTCGCACCAGCCCAGCTGCAGCTTCAGCTGTGAGGAGGGATCTGTCCTGGTCGGGCCAGAGCTGGTGCAGTGCACGGCTTCGGGCGCATGGACAGCCTCGGCCCCGGCGTGCGAAGGTGAGTTTCAGGCCGTGGGGGATGCACAGTCCCCTGCACCCAGTTCCGCTGGGAGTGCAGGTGACACTGGCCAGCTGTGGAGAAGCTGGCCCGCATGGCCCCGACCTGGCTCTCCTCCTACCTTCCACTCAGCCCATGAGTGCATCTGGGTAGGAAAAGAGTGTCGGCTCTAGAAGAGTAACAGAATTTACTAGATTTTACTAGAAGCAGGATGTAGAAGTCTTCCCCCCCCCAATTCGCAGCCCTCAAGCAGGTTCAGAATGGCCTCGCTCATAGTTTTACGTCAGCGGGGAAAGGGCGGCATCGGCCTCTGTAAGCAGACGCCAGAGACCTGCCGAGGCCGCACCGCGAAGGCAGAGGCAGAGAGGACACTGGAGTGAGCGTGGGGAGCCTGTGTTGGAGGGATTCAGGTCACCCTCAGGACTGGTACTCCAGGTCTGGACAAGTGGCTTCAGGGTCTCCTGACCCTTACGGCTCCCCCCGCCCCCCACTTCCACGTGCTCCCACCGTTGCTCTCCGGCTGTGGGCATGGCTTTTCTCCTCCCTCAGACCTTTCTCTCTGTCCTTGGCTTTTCTCTCTAACTGAGCAACGTCAGCTCCTGGAACCCCTGACAAAGGAGCCATGGGCTGTGCCCTCCGCTTGCTGCCTTTGCAGGTGGCTCAAGGTGTAAATTCAGGTGTGGCCCGGCTATCCAGTGAGGGGCTGGCACACTGGCTGCCCTGGCCCGGCCGGTGGACCGCAGCCTTGCCAGCGGCGAGGGTGGGCCGTTCCTGGAGTAGCCCCGCCACGCAGGAAGGAGTTGTTCACAGCAGAATGATCCGGGGCTCTCACCTTCGGCATGGTCGCCTCTGGGCTGACGCAGGGCCAGCTTTTCAACCCCAGGAGGCATGGTTTTCTCATCTGTGAAATGAGCCAAGATTTGCAAGGGCCTTTGTGAGGATGGAGTCTATAAAAAGTATACAATTAAATGGCATCTATGACTTGCCTAGCTTAGAGCCTGGCACTTGAGTAACCTCAGTTTCTGCCTCTTTTTTCCTTTCTTGCCCCACGAGCCTATCCACGCTGTGGGACAATGTCCTATGCTTGATAAGGGTCAGAACGGGGCTAAGAGGGCAAGGAGGGAGATGGCTCATTGTGGCCTTGGGAGGTGGCCTTGACAGAGGAGAAAGGAGTATGGCATTGAAGAAGAGACTGTGAGGCAACGCCAGGCAGTAATGCAACAAAGCTGAAGTCTGTGCACGAGCCTCACACCTCCCAGCTTACCAGGCAGGCAGGAAGGAAAGGGAAGCTGGAAAGTCAGGGCTGGCGCAGCGAATTCCTAGGACACCTAGATTCCAAGGCCGGCTCTGCTACTGTCTAGATGGGAGGCTGTAGGGGAGTGGCTGACACTTGCTGAACCTCACTGCTCTCATCTGTAAAGTGAGAGAGAAACGCAGGAGGATCTTTCGTTCTTAAATGCCCCAATTCTGTGAAAACCAGAAGTCTAAGCCCAGGGTGTGAGGGTGGTCTTTACACTCTGAAAACAAACAAACCAAAAAGCCAGATAAGCCAGGACCAGCCTGGAGATGAAATGGGCTGGAGAAGGAAGGGTGTGCGGAAACCAGCCTTTATCAGAGCCGAGGTCGCCGGGGCTTAATCACGCTCAGGAACTCGCTTTGGGCTGCGCTCCCTGGCAGCTGCAGTCTGATTAGGATGACTTCCTGTGGGAGGCAAAGCCCACGTGGGATTGCTTTATGGGGCTAGATAGTAGTGTCAACAATAAGCTATGCCATTCCAGCTTCTTCCTTAAAAGTCCAGCCTCTTCTGTACCTAACCTTCCACACATACCCCAATAAATGTTTCAAGAGCACCTTCGATGCACAGACTCTGCCAGGCTCTGAGCTACAGCTGCGAATGAGCCTGCGCCTCCGGGGGGCCGCACTCCACGGGGCACAAGCACAACAGTGTAGGAGCAGCGCAGGACCAGGGCTGTGGCAGCCCCCGCGGGTGGGCGGAAGGTTCTTAAGGAAAGTGGAGTCTCAGCTGAGCCGGCTGAGACAGGGAGGGCGGGTGAGTGATCCGGGCGAAGGGGGCATGGGGAGGTGCTCTGGGCAGTTTCCCTTTGGAAAAGCGAGGACTTAGGGTTCTGAGCATCCTGGCAACGTGGGCAGACAGATGCAGCCTTTCTCTAGGGCTCTTCTGAGGAAGAGCGGAGCCCTCGCTTGACCCGGTTTCAGACTATCATGCTCTCTTCTAGCCGTCGAGTGCAAGCCCCTGGAGAGTCCTGTCCACGGGAGCATGGACTGTTCTCCGTCCCCGAGAGAGTTTCAATACAACACCACCTGCAGCTTCCGCTGTGCGGAGGGTTTCGAGCTGAGCGGAGCCGACACGGTGCGGTGTGCTGATGCGGGACAGTGGACGGCGCCAGCCCCGCTCTGCCAAGGTACCGAGACGGCGAAGCGTCCCCTCTGTGCCCCTCAGCCTGTTAAGGCATCAGCATCTGCATCGAGCCACCATCCACTCAGGCATCAGACATGCGTGAAGCCCCTACTATGTGCAGAGCCCTCTGTGCTGGGCACTAGAGAGGAAACGGGGAGCAAAGCCAGCCGCAGGCGCAACGTCTTCGTCACCGCATGTTGTTATAGAGGTCGGGGTGCCCTGGCTGGCACGGATGGGTGGGCTGGTGCGGAGGAGATGGGGCTGGGGGAAGGACTGACGCGTGAGGAGCAGCAGGACGGCAGGGAATAATGGACGAGGCGTTCAGTTTAGTTCCTTTATCTCCTGACAGCCAGCTTTGGTCTCTCTGAGGCTCAGCCTCCTCAGCGGTGGGAGTGCGGTTACCGCCTGGCCTACCTGCCTCACTAGCGTCTGTCAGTTAATGTGAGGGAAGCAAGCTTAAAGCCGCTAGGAGCTTTACAAATGTGGGCACTGGGGTCTCTGGGCAATTTATGTAAATTCCTGAGTCTGACTGAAAAATAAGGCAGTGGTTTGAAATCACTGTCTTGAAAAGGGATTTGAAAGCCCACGTTCAGAGCACATTATTCATAAAAGTTAAAATGTGGAAGTCACCCAAGTGCCCATCAGCAGAGGAATGTTTAAACAAAATGTGCTATAAACATGCAGTGGAATATTATTCGGCCTTAAAAAGGAAAAAAATCCTGACATATGCCACAAAGTGAACAAACCTCAAGAATATTATGCTAAGTGAAACAAGCTGGACAGAGAAGGACAAATACTGTATGATTCCGCTTAGATGAGGTCCTTGGAGTAGTCAGAGTCATGGACAGAAAGTAGAGTGGTCGTTACCAGGGGCTGGGAAAAAGGCAAGTGGGTAGTGACTATGTAACGGGTATGAAGTTTCCGTCCAAGAGAACACAAATTGTTGTGGAGATGGGTGGTGGTCATGGTCAGTAGGGATGAACTTAATGCCACTGAACTGTACACTTAAAAATGGTTAAGTGGTAAATGGCAAATTTTATTTTATGTGTATTTTACCACAATGAAAAAAATGGGGGGGGAAATGAGGCAGTGGGGGAGGAGACGACCATGCACCGTGATGGGAGGCTTGGTGAGAGCAGTGGGGTATGTAGCAGACACACTGTCCGAAAGACAAAATTTATCCAGGCAGGTGAACCATCCAGAAGAGATAGCTGGATATTCTCTTACGCATCCAGATGTGGCCTCAGACTCCCTTGCTGAGCCCCCTAGGGTTTCAATTCTGACAGCCAGGGTCTGCATCTGACACAGAGCTGTAACGACATTACTACTATCTGCCAGGACTGCTGCTGCTACTAATCCTAGCAGACAATACTTACTGCGCACTTCAGCCTCGCTCCATGAGGCGGTTACACTCATTGTTCCTGTTGTGAAGACGAGACTGAACATCTGTAGAATCCACGTGTTCTCCCTATATGACCCTCTATTTTATATACAGAGATCATGGTGTAGATCACACAGCTTATATTCTGTTTTTCACTTAAGTCATACCGTAAGACACCTCCCTTATCTTTTCAAGGTGAAATATGCCATTTTTAGTGACTTCCACCTTCCTCTCAAGGATCCACCATAACTTACTTTCAGCCTCTGATTAGTGGCATTTATATTTGTTTTCAGTACTTTGCTCTTATAAATAATGTGGTGATAAACAATCTATGAATTGATATTTAGATATGTTATGTTGATTACGTACTTAGCATAGATTCTTGGGTTTATTTTCAAAATTATGATATTTTGATATTTCAAAATATGATATTTTCAAAATTATTGATACATGTTGCCAAAATGCTTAATGGTGGCTCAGCATTTTCCTCACAAGACCCTTCAGGTGCGACTGTGATGAAAGGACACTTTTCCCGTCCACGTTACACACGCCCCGCTTAGAAACCCCTGCCTTTGGCACTCACTTGGGCTAAGGGGTGGAAATCCATGAGAACTCGTGCAGTGCTGTTTCCTCGCTCCCTCACTCCCTCCCTCCCTCCCTCCCTCTCCCGTAGCTTTGCGGTGCCAGGACCTTCCAGCTCCGAACAAGGCCCAGATGAACTGCGTCCACCCCCTCGGTGCCTTCAGGTACCAGTCCACCTGCAGATTCGCCTGTGCTGAAGGCTCAGTCCTGGTGGGAGCGAGCGAGCTCCAGTGCTTGGCTACCGGGAGCTGGAGCTCTCCGCCTCCAGAGTGCCGAGGTAAGATGCGTTCTCCCCAGCATCTTGGAAACGAATCATAGGCTGTGTTCTAAAAGGCTGTATTTTAGAGGTGGAAACTCTCTTGTGGCCAGGAAGTTGATACGGACTGGAAAATTCATGAGCCCTTTCATCCTGTAACCTGGCGATTCAGGATGCAGGTGCCCTCGGGGGGCCAGGCAGACAGCACAAGTGGCAGGACTCTGGGCAGTGGGCGACGGGAAGGGCCCCAGCCAACGACTGACCAGGCCTTCAGCAGGACCTGTGATCAGGACCCAGGTGAACTGTGCTGACTTGGCTAAAAACAGCACCCGGAAAGAAGGCCAGAGGACAAAAGCAGCTCGAGGCCGGCTGTGCCAAGGCTGACCTGGCATCTGATCCCTAGGAAGCACGGAGTCTCGTGGGGGCACGGGGGCAACCGATGGGCATCATGGTGGAACGGGGGGGCTCGGGTTCATCGGTGCCTGGCTGCAGACACCCTCCAATTCTGTATAAGAATGCAGAAATTCACGTAGGATGAAGTGAAGAGACAAAAAGAGGAAGAGACTAGTCTATACAGGCCAGGTTATGAAATCTCAGAACAAAAAGCGCACACTCAGCATAAGCCCAGGCACCTGCACTGTACCCGATACGGACCAAGGCCGTGTGCTCCGTCAGCACCGAGCGAAGTGCAACCGGCTGTGATGGCCGGGCTCAGGGCCTGAAGGGCACGAGCGCTTCCTGTGCTCCCCTTTCCTTTCCACTCAATGTACCTGATTTTTAGTTACATTCATGGCAAATGCTGCTTTTCCAAAGCAATATTTTCATTTATAAAAGCTACAGAAAAATAAGAAAATAGAGAAACAATAAAAATCCTCTCAAATACCCCCACCTTAAAATAGACACTGTGAGCATTCTTGTATGAATTCCTCCAGTTTTCCCCCATCCACTTTTCCCTCCATGCATTTAGTATTTTTATGATACTTCTACAGTTTTAATATATAAAATTAAGCAGGTAAAATGCTGGAAAATTCTGCATTGGTTGCCTTCGCCTTTCTCTGCACAAGCTTTTAAAGTCTGAGTGAAAGCAGGCAACTCTGTTCTTAATGGAGAGGAAACCACTTGCCATTCAGGTCACACACGGGCATGCGCACCCCTC